ATTCTTGGCTTTTAATAGTTATTGAAGTTGCTGTTCGCACAATACTTACGTACTGTAGTTTTAATTTTTCTGTTCCCTCTAATTCCATTGCGATTTTAGATTGTTCTTAATTACCTACTAATTTTCGGAAATCTATATTGGGTTCTGATTGATGATGGATGTGATGCTCTCTTTTTCGTAATTGTGGTTTTGAAGTTGTCATTAGAAATTCGGTCAGTTTTGTATTGTTGTAATCCTGGAAAGCAAGAAAAAAAATTTCGCACTAAAAATTTATTTTGCTTAATACTGCGAGTTGTTTTTTTTTTGTTTTGTTCGGTAGTCGTTGCATAAAACACTTTGAAGTTGTTTGTTTCGTTCATAGAGTTTGTTTGGATTAATGCTAATCGTCTATGTATCCAATTTTGATGTAGAGGTGTGCTTATAGGTTATGGGCCCATATCATAGATTAAATTTTTGTAACAGCTTTTAAGCAGTCTCCTACTGAGTACTCAGGATCTGTTCTTGATGAACCATGAAAGGTTTATTGGATATTATAGATTCTTCCCCCCTAAGGTAAGGATTCATTGTTATTTGTAGAGATTTTTCTGTGTTTGTTGTTAGTGTAAAATTTGATTTTTTTGGGATTTTGTGTTGTTGTAAAAAGTAAGGTAATGAGATGTCTTTTCTCATCGGTTTGTGATGGTAATCTTGAGTGTTTTAATGGTTTTGTGCTTGTATATTATTAATAAGCACTGCCTGATTTAGTCTTTGAGGAAATTATTGCTGTGGTTATCGTGGTTGTTGAGGGTTCAGATATGGTTCGAGAATATATGGTTTGAAAAATATCATCGGGTTGATCTATAATATTCCAGTGATCGTTTTGTTGGTTTTTGTTATTTATTGATGTTGATTTTGATGGAAGTAATTTTCATCTTTAGAATAGTGTGGTTGGTTTTTTGTGAATTGGCTGTTAGTTGGTTTTTTGTGTTGAAAAAATGGATAGTTTTCGGTGCGATCCGTCGGAGACTCTAACATATCATTAAACACCTTGATTGAAATTTTGGTTTTGGTATTTATTGAGTATAATTATTTTCCTGAGGTTAAATTTGTGTTTGAGAATTTGGTTTTGCTATTGGATTGCTGATATTATTATTTGTTAAAAAGTCCTAGTTATGATTAGGAAAGTTATTGCCATTTCCGTGTTTTTGTTCAGTAGATTGTCGTTTTTTGGTTATTGGTCTCTTTGTTTGGTAATCCAAAAGCAATTATTTGGGGATAATGGATGGCTTAACTGAGGATTTTACAGTTGTTTGTGGCCAAGGAGTTTTAATTTTTTTTTGGTATCGTAAGTGTTGGGTGAATAGCGGAAAAATTTGTTGGGTTGTTGTAGGTAGTGTTGCAAATATTTCTTCAATTACAAAGTGTGATGGAGTTTGGATATCTTGTTGTGCTAAATTTGACGTTCCATTAAGGGTTTCCTGTGTATTTATGAATGTTGAGTTTAAGCTGTTAGTGCTTGATATATCCTTGAACATTGATTTATAATTTTAAGGTGTGGTGTCTATTGGGAGTGGAATTACTGCTTAATAACCTCAATGCACGAAACTAGTAACAATTGCTGCAGCTAAAAGATCTTTTGGGATGTTAAAAATTAGTATATGAGAACATTCCGGGTCCCATACACAATCTATTTTGTCTTTTGTTTCATCTTTTAATCGATTTAACTAATATTGTTTCATCATTTCTTTGTGGTCAAACTTTTTTCCAAAATAGAACAGCGTAGATGATGCAATTTTTTGAAAATTGAGTTTTTCTTTGTGAGTTTTGATGTAGAATTATTTAAAGTTTATTCTGTGAAAAATTTTGAGAAAACAATTTCTATATAATCTGTTTGTATTCTGTGTGGTGATTGATTTGATTATTGGGGTAATAAGTTTCGATAGTGAAAATGCTGTAAAATGAAGTGATAATAGTGATGACTGGTAAAGAGTGATCAAGTATTTTCTAAAGATTTTTTAGGAATTATTGTTTACTTGGGCTATTTCTTTTTTTTGAACAAATTTGCTATTAATTTTTCCTCTAGCGGGATCGCTCTGAGGGTGAAGAACAAAAGGAAGGATATAACTATTGTCAAAATTTTCCTTGTTTTGAATCATTTTTTCGTGCGGAAGTACAGTTAATGTGTAACTTTCAAATCGCTTTTTTGGTTGATTCCAATTATAGAGTCTTACTGGTTTGCGGAGGTATAAATTTTTTATTCTGCGTTTACACTTATAGATGATGCTGTTGAGGATTTTAATACCTAAAAAATTCTTTGATCATATATTGGTTTAATTTATCGTTGAATAAATCTCGAAGATTTTGGAGTTCTTTTATTGTGGTTGAGTCATATTCCGAAACTGCATTTCATATTCTGGAGATTTTTTGTTTCATAAATTGTTTTTGTTTGTGATTATTGCCTTCTTTCTTGTTTTTTGATCTGACTGTTTGTATTTTTTATTGTGGTGTAATTAGAAGATCATCACTTTGTCTTTAATTAAACAGTTGTGGAAAACCATTATTTGTTTGTTTCCTAGATTATCTTTTGACATAAGTGTTAGAATGATGGTTGCAAAATCCACGGGTTAGGCTTGTTTTCTCCTGAACTGTTAGTTCTTACCATTTTTGTGAGGTGACCTTGATCTTGGGATACAGGGTGTTGACTGTAGATGGGTTGGAGAGAGAGTATATCAATTCGTTAGAATGATGTAATTATTTCTTGGTAGTTGAGTTTTGTTTTAAGAAAAACTTAATTAATCTGACTTCGGGTTTTTATTTGTGATCGAGGTTTAGAGATTAGTAAATCAATCCACAAGGTTCAAGTATAATCAGAACACAAGTAGAATGTTAGATATTCTTTTAAAATATACTAAATTGAGAGGAGTCGCTTAAGTGACAGATGAGTAACCGAAATTCTTCACTGTTTATCTTAATTAAAATCGTTAGTTTTTCAAAAAACTTTTCAGTCTTTTGTCGCTGACAAGGGTTGAACATTGAATCGAAGTTTGAGGTCGTTAAACAGCTTTATTAGGAGGTGGGTAGTGCAAATTTTATCTTGTTGATCCAAGGAAAGCCCTGTGATCAAATATTTTTAATTGAAACAAAACTAAAATTAAAAAAGAATTAAGAATCCAAGGATAGCATTGATGATCTGATTTAAAGAAGAGTTATGTTGTTACAAAACAAGGATAGGCTTAACAATATTTAAGTTCAAAGTTTTATTAAAGCGAAAATATATAATTTGAGGAAAGGTTTGTTTCAAAAGTTAAAGAGTTAAATTATAGTAATTTCTAAGTGATTATGGTTATGTTTTAGACGAAGAAACAAAGAAACTTGATTTATTGGTGGATGAGGTTGTGCGTCATTTCGAAGCAAGGGATTTTTTTTTATAACTCTAATGAAACTAACTTTAAATTGATAAACTGACCAATTTTTTTTTCTTCAATTAATTATAAAGTTACAAAAGTTTCGAAATACTGCAGATTTATTTGAAATGAATGACATTTGTATCTTTTATCAGTCGTTAACATACTATATATTAATTGTTATAAATCATTTATATATCATTGAGAGGTAAATAGCTTGGAAATGAATCTTACTGCTCCAAGTAGTATTTCATGTTATTGAATGAAAATGTACTGCATTGATAATCTTGTAGAGAAGTAGTCGTTGCGGTCTGCGTTTTCGTTTCACGTTGTAGAGATTCGATCCGGTATTTGCGTTTTGACCTGGTGTAAGCTTGAATACGCTATAGTACTGATTAGTTGTATTGAGACGTGGAGGTAAGTTTTCAACACTTCTTAACATTTTTGTGTTATGTGTTTGGAACTTAGGTTTTATTTCTATTTTGAATTTGCTAAATCTAATTTTGTTGAGGTCTTTTTTCGAGACTCGTGCTCGTACCAGGTGGGTTAAAGTCCGGGATGGCTCACCCATAGAGTAATTTCAGATGGGGTACACCGTCTGTTCGTCACGCTATCTTATTTTTGGCCGGATAGATTCTCCAACTTGCTAGTCTGATACCGATCGTTGTTTTACTTTTTTATCTCCGAGTCTCAATAGATCTAGTGTAGACTTAATTTGCGAGATAAGATATCAGAAATTGTTCAGAAGAAAAACGACTGTTTGCCAAGTTATCTCTATTCTGTTCTGTTGCTCAAACTATGAATAGTTTCAGCTGTAGAGTTTATGGTCAGTGTTACTTATGGTTTGTGATTGGTTAGTTAGAAATATTTTACAGAAATGTGTATATCAATAATACAATTGGATATAAATACTAGTTTTAAACTTGTTCCTCTTTTGAACAATGTTTTCATTTTTGGCACTGTTGAGCTACTGTTTTTCGACACTGTTGTACTGCCCCGTTTGTCGGTATGCTATGCTGAAAAAAGTCAGCTAGTGGGTTGTTTCTTCACATCTAGTTTCACCTTTTCACCTCTCATTTTGTTTCTTCTGACTTTTTTGTGTCTGATGAAAGACTCAAAGTAATCGATATTTTGTTCATTCCGAGTTTTATTTAATGCTAAATATTTGGAAATTGGGCTATTTTTGGCATCGCCCAAAATTTCGTAAGAAATTAGACAAAGTGATTCTCTTTTCAGTTCGACAAATTCTTCAGGCTGCGAGAGCGATTTTCCAGTTGTTGAGAGCAATTTTTCAATAATTAAAAAGTGAATAGTTTTTAGCTGGTAAAATGAACGCAAAATCAGTAGATTATGAGCCCTCTGGCAATTAAACTGAATAGACAAAAATTTGAATTCTGGGCTCCAAAAAACCAATTAAGAAATGATCAAATGTCAACTTGCGTGAAAAGATTTAAGCAAAACTTGGAAATTTGGGCTAAAAGATAGCAATTAGGAGAATGATCAAATGGCAACGTGCGTGAAAAAGTTTGCAGCTGGCATGTTTTCAGGCGTTGCTTCCTTCACAGAAATTTCACCGACATCAATTATGTAATAATCTTTTAATGTCAGTTGACCAAAATAACCCATTTATTAAAATTTTGCAGTTCATTTGAAAATTGGGGATTTGTGAAAAACAGTTGAAATAAGAGATTTATATTTCAAGTCGAAATGGATTTCCTGGTAAGTTTGAAATCAAATATTGAAAAATTTCCTAGAAAAATCTCTCGTTTCGGAAATTTGGTGCTTTTACTAAAGCAGAACTGAGACAGAACATTTAAAGCAGAACTGAAGCAGAACATTTAAATTTTATGGTTTTGAGTTTTTAGAAATTTTGAGGAACTTCAAGGAAAACTTAAAAAAATTTTATCTTGCTTTTCATTTTTTTATTATCCTTCATTTTTCAGTGATTTTTTCCATAGTTTCTTATTAACCAAAAGTACTGAAAAAAGTAGTATGATTCTTTTCAAGTAAAGTAGCACAGGTTATTTTAGTAGTGTCGTTTTTATGTATCTGTTTCAAATATATTTTGTCACCTTTTCATCTGAATTTTAAGCTTCAAAAAGCCTTTCTGCTGGTAATTTTCTGCAATATAGTGGCATGAATATTTGTTTTCGGTTGTGTTTGCTCCGCTTGAAGTCGAAACACAGTGGCAGTTTAAGAGGAATGCATTTCTTTTTGGTCAGAACTTTTTTGGCCTGTTTTTTTTCGAATTTTTGTTGAAGATCAGCACCTACAAGAGAAAACTTTAGATTTGTTTTCGTCAGAACATTCAAAAAAGTTGTTTGCCATATCTAATGAAGGACCCTTCAGTAGTGATTGTCCTGAAAATTTTTCTGCTGGGACGAAAAGAAAAAACGAGCTAATGCTTTTGTCAGAGCAATTTCGATTAGAGCAAGGGGTGAAACTATGATTTTTTCCAGGAGGATTTTTTGACATGTTAGGTAAACCACATTATTTCTTAAAATACTATAAAAGCTCTAATTTTCTGAAAGAAACAATTTTCGAAGCAAGCAATTTTTTTGACAAAAATGCAAAAAAAACAAAAATTGCCATAAGGCCAAAAAGTCTGAAACACCAACAATTTTGACATGATTGGATGCTTTTGGCCTGCACGCCTTCATTAACATATTAGTACATTTTTTCGTCACTTTATGGTAAGTCGTGAAAAGATATCGTACAGAACACCCAAAAAATCAAAACGCAACCCAATCCCCCACCCACACACACGCACAAATACACTATATTCAGGGACGGATTTAGGGGTATGCGGACGCTTCTTTCTCAGGGATTCGACCCCCTGCCGAGCCAAAGGGTCCCCCCTTTGTACTATTTTGAAATATCCATTTTTGGTGACGAACCCTAAAATTTTTCTAAAGGCACCTTTGGCGCCAAAATATTCTAAATTTTAAGGGGAGCGCGCGCCAAAAAAACGCGAGTTTTTTCGTCAAAATTTTCCAAAAATTGCCCAAAAACGCCTTTTTAGCCAGTTGTTTTTTGAAAATTTTGCCTGCGACGCAAAAAATTTGGCCAAAGCAGGACTTTCTAGTGCTTTGGGAGAGCTCGAAAAATGAATTTGGTCGACCTAAAAAAAAGGTCGTCAAAATTTTCACAAAGTTTTTGAAAATCCGCCCCCCCCCCTCGTGAAAATTTTAGTACCGCCCCTGACTATATCCGTCTCTGAAATTATTTTTTTTTCACTTAAATCAATTTCATGGTAAAGCGCTTCTAATTATTTGTAAGTATTTTCAGCAATTTTTTGTTCTTTGTTGCTTTTTTGCGTCTCTTTTTTGTCTGAAAAACCATAGCTTAAAAAAAAGTTTTCCCGAAGTTATTTCATTTTTTAATTTTGATTTTCTATTCAATATTGTTTTGCAATTATTTCCTGCTGATTAAGTTTAATTCAACTTAGAATTTTGTTCAATTTTTAAATTGCAAAAAAAGTGGCAGATCAATCAATATTGCCTTCAGATAGTTTATTTCTAAGAAAACTACAATGTCTCCCATGCCGGAAAGCTGCTCAAAAAGGTGCGAAAGAACCTTCTTGACAGATTCATAAATGGCAATAAATACTTGCCGAAGACAAAGCTGGAGCTTAAAGAACCGCGCGAGTTTTGGATATGATTAAATGTTCTCAACTTTGTAGTACACTACTTGGTAAGTGATTGTTCCAGGCAGAACAAAACGAATTTCATAACATAAGAAAACCACATAATTAGTATGATATATGAGTTGCACTTGAAGAAGTTGTCTCCATTAAAACAAACGAGACTGCTCGTATCAGAGCAAAACCCTGAATGTTCCGACTGCCTTTCCAGGTCTATGGAGCAGCAATAACTTGAAAAATTCAAAAATAATAAAATCAAAATCAATTTAAAAAAAAAAGTGAGACTATTGTGTGAAAACATACCCCCACACGCCATATTAAGTACAAAGTGATAGATTTAGCTCCTGTTAATAAATCAATTATGGCATATAAGCTTCCTTGAACTAAATTGGAACAATTTCTAGAACGAATTAAAATTCGCTTACGTGTTAATACCGCGAAAGATATCGCGCGTTAAGTGTCCCAAATTGGCCTAAATTGCTATATTTAAACCCCCATAACTTTGAGAAAAATGATCACAGGTGAAATATCTTTTCAAATTTAAGCTCGAAACAACAAGAGTTTTTCGAATGATGTTGAGTCAAAATTGTCAAAATTGGGTAGTTAAAAAGTCGAAACTTGTCTGAAGAAAAAAAACTCACCCCAGCACAAATATTCCCTTACTTTCGTCACGAAAGTAGCAACAAAAAGAAAACGATGGAGAAGGAAACACCAGCTGCTCATTGCATTAAAAAAATTGTGATAGCAAATCTTAAAAATTTCAAGCTATGGCATTAAGATTTTCGTTTGACCGTGGTTAATTATTTCTCCGACTTTTGCAACGAAAGTAACGGAATATTAGTGCTCGGGGTGGTGGGCTTTTTTTTCTTCAGACAAATTTCGACTTTTTAACTAGCTATTTTTGTGCCAGTTTTGTTGCATCATTCAAAAGGTATTGTCCTGAGCTTAAATTTGATAAGTTTTTTCTCCTGTGATCTTTTTTCGTAAAGTTATGGGGGTTTAAAGATTGCCATTTTGGCCAAATTTGGACAATTAACTCGCGATATATTTCGCATTATTAACGCGTAAACGGAGATTTAATCTGTCTTAGAAATCGTTCCAAATTGGTTGAAGAAATCTAATTTACCATAACTGATATGTTACTAGGAGCGAAATTTATCACTTTTTACTTATATGGCGTTTGGGGGTTATTTTCAAAAAAAAATCTCAAACTTTTATTTTTTTTCCATTTTATTCTATTACATTTAATTTTTTAATTTTTTTTTGGTTCGATAGACCCTAAAAAGCAGTCGGAACATCCAGGGCTTCGCCCTGATACGAGCAGTCTTGTTGTTCCGACTTTCGATGCGATAGTAACGGAATATTTGTGCTCGGGTGAGTTTTTTTCTTCAGACAAGTTTCGACTTTTTAACTAGCCATTTTTGACGGATTTTTTAAATATCATTCAAAAGCCATTATTGTCCTGAACTTAAATTTGAAAAGGTATTTTACCTGTGATCCTTTTTGTAAAGTTATTAGGGTTTAAAAATTGCCATTTTGGCCATTTTGACCAGTTTGGGACAATTAACGCGCGATATAATTCGCGCTATTAACGCGTAAGCGGAGGTTTAATCCGTCTTATAAATTGTTCCAAATTGGTTGAAGAAATCTAATTTACCATAACTGATATGTTACTAGGAGCGAAATTTATCACTTTCTGCTTATATGGCGTGTGGGGGGATGATTTTCAAAAAAAATCTCAAACTTAATTTTTTTTTCATTTTATTCTTTACATTTAATTTTCTAATTTTAGTTTTGCTTCGATAGACCCTAAGAAGCAGTCGAAACATCCAGGACTTCGCCCTGATACGAGCAGTCTTCATTTTGCTTATCGATAATTTCCCTTCTTTGCGAAAAAATTGATTGAAATTCTTCTTAAGTAAGAAAAAACATCAAAAAAAATATTGGAAAAACACCTGATGAAGCGATACATTTTTTTCTTTGGGTTTTCGTTTATCGAAACTTTATTCTTTCTAGTTTTTTTCGCTATTAATTACTTCTAACTTCGAAAGAGGTAAAATTATACTGAAATGGAAATCAGCTGGCGAAATTCGTTGAACCGAAAATAGCATTACAAGGCTTGCTTCTTTTCTTTCACATTGGGGTGTGTGAAGAAAATTAGAAGGTTGGTTCAGGTCATATTTGAAAAAACTGAAGATGAAACCACAAAAAAAAGAGTAAGACTCCAAAAAATAATAAGCTCTTGGAGAAAATTCAAGAAAAAACTGATCAAAAAAATTTCTGATCTCATTTTTCAAAAACACCGGTTGGAACTTAGAAAAGTTATACGTTTAAGTGGAAAATAACGTCCTCACTGTTAACAATTCACCGCGTTTTTAAGTGAATTCTTTGAAAAAATTTGCAAAAATATAGAAAACAAAATGATGCTACTGCAAATGTTACTGCAAAACAACTTTGGCGTACACTCTTATCAAAAAAACTGGATAATATATTATTGCGTTTTTGAAGACAATTTATTTAGAAAGTCGTTTTTTACTCAAAAGGCTGGAAGAACTGATATCAGATCTAGACAACTCGCAAGTGAAGAATTTGCACAACGACTGATTTTCGTATTAACGCATACTTTGCATCAAAGGGCATTGATTTGGCCAAAAAAGCTCAAACGTTCCCAATGAGAGCTTTACTGCAAAAACTTTAGTCAATATTCTTCCAAAAAAATAAAAACAAGAAAAAAGACGGCCATAGACTAATAAGAGGCAGCCTTGATTCCTCTCACAATTGAAATAGATTTCCATAAAACTTTTACAAAAGCAAAAAAATGCCAACTTGTAAATTTTTAGAGAAAAAAATCTCTGGAAGCTTTCCACCAATGTCATTATATCAAACAAAAAGGGTGAAAACAGAAAACGTATCATTTCTTCGTATCAAAAGTTTTAATGAAAATTTTGATGTAGCTTTCAATAAATACTTTGCTTTCCAGGATAACCAAAAGAACAATCGCTGACGCCATAGTGACCCCCTTTTGACAATAGAATGGCACTGAAACGCTCATTTTTGATCAAAAAATTCCACCTCATTCTCACAGGTGGCTGCCATAGATTTTTATGTTTTATAACGACTGAAAAGATCATTTCACTCATCAAAAAAGGGACAAAAACTCAAATATTTTGAGAAGGAAACGTAAAAAAATTTTTCATCGCAGAAATCATTGGATAGTCAACATTTTTCACCACAAAAATCATTGGATACAAAAATCAGGGAAACGTTTGACAATTTTAACAGTTTCGAAGCTTAGAAACTATTTTTTTTCATTGGAAGTCAGGGAAGGGAGTCAATTTTTTTTGATGTAAGAAATTATCCATTGAAATCACTGTTTCAAAGACCAGAAGTTGTGTGACTCAGAACAACCCTCTCTAGTCAGATCAGAACGGAGCACAAATATGCTGTCACTTTTTCGAAAATTTTTTCATCACAAAAATCATTGTATAGTAAACAAAATGTTCACCACAAAAATTGTTGGATACAAAAATCAGGGAAACGTTTGACAGTTTTAACAGTTTCGAATCTTAGAAAAAAATTTTTTTCATTGGAAGTCAGGGAAGGGAGTCAAGTTTCTTTGATGTAAGAAATTATCCGTTGAAAATCACAGTTTCAATCCATTGAAATCACTGTTTCAAAGACCAGAAATTGTCTGACTCAGAACAACGCTCTCTAGTCAGATCAAAATGGAGCACAAATATGCTGTCACTTTTTCGAAAATGTTTTCATCACAAAAATCATCGTATAGTAAAAAACGTTCACCACAAAAATTGTTGGATACAAAAATCAGGGAAACGTTTGACATTTTTAGCAGTTTCGAAGCTTAGAAACTATTTTTTTTCATTGGAAGTCAGGGAAGGGAGTCAATTTTTTTTGATGTAAGAAATTATCCGTTGAAAATCACAGTTTCAATCCATTGAAATCACTGTTTCAAAGACCAGAAATTGTCTGACTCAGAACAACCCTCTCCAGTCAGATCAAAACGGAGCACAAATACGCTGTCACTTTTTCGAAAAAGTTTTCATCACAAAAATCGTTGTATAGTAAAAAATGTTAACCACAAAAATCGTTGGATACAAAAATCAGGGAAACGTTTGACAATTTTAACAGTTTCGAAGCTGAGAAACTATTTTTTTTATTGGAAGTCAAGGAAAGGAGTCAATCTTTTTTTATGTATAAATTTATCTGTTGAAAGTCACAGTTTCAATCCATTGAATTCACTGTTTCAAAGACCGGAATTTGTCTGACTCAGAACAACCCTCTCTAGTCAGATCAAAACGGAGCACAAACATGCTGTCACTTTTTCGAAAAAGTTTTCATCACAAAAATCGTTGTATAGTAAAAAATGCTAACCACAAAAATCGTTGGATACAAAAATCAGGGAAACGTTTGACAATTTTAACAGTTTCGAAGCTTAGAAACTATTTTTTTTTCATTGGAAGTCAGGGAAGGGAGTCAATTTTTTTTGATGTAAGAAATTATCCATTGAAAATCACAGTTTCAATCCATTGAATTCACTGTTTCAAAGACCGGAATTTGTCTAACTCAGAACAACCCTCTCTAGTCAGATCAGAACGGAGCACAAACATGCTGTCACTTTTTTTTCGAAATTTTTTTCATCACAAAAATCATTGGATAGTCAAAAATGTTCCCCACAAAAATTATTGGATACAAAAATCAGGAAAACGTTTAACAATTTTAACACCTTTTTTCAAATTGGATAAAAAACACTCTTGACTGAATTATTCAGCAAAATCAATCTTAATTTCCTTGAGAATTTCTCTTTAGACAGCATAGATATTTCAAGATTTTTGAATTTTTAATTAGGAGAGGGATCATCATTTCCATAAAGCAAAATCAAATTTAAATTCCCAGAGAGTTAGTTAATCTTTAGACAACATAGATATTTCAAGTTTTAAAACCTTCAATTCAAAAGAGGATCATTATTTTCACGACTGAACAAACAAGCAACATCATTTTTTACAATCCCTTAGAAAAAATCTTGAGGCAACATAGGTGTTTCAAGTTTTCTTGAATCTTCAATTCACAAGGGGATCATCATTTTTTAAAAAGAAGAAAAAACAGAGAGAAATTGCAACTGTTAAAAAACCTATGCTGTTCTTGTTTTTAAGCGCCGAAAAACAGGCATCCTAATGACATCCTCCTAATCTATACATTTGGAAACAATTTAGCAACTTCTGACTGTCACTAAAAATCATCTATCTTAAGTGTTTCTTATTGAAATAGAGATTTTTCCCTGAAAAATGTGTTTTCAGCCTTTGTCACAACTAGAAAAGAGCTTCGGACATAAAACACTTTTCTTTATATTTGAATTGCTCAAGTTACCTGAGTTTGCTTAGAAAAATCATTCCAGAAATCAAGGAAGAAAGGGCTTGTATAAAAAAATTAAGGCACATTATGGAACCTCAGGTCAGAATTTATTAAAAATCTGATTCATCAAATTCATTGCCAGTTTTACTAGTTTTCCTGTTTCTACCATAGCACTAGTTGTTGACATAATTAATTACTTAAAAAACCTCAATCAATTATTTAGATGGAATTGTATCCTTTTACTGACATTTCTCATAAACCTCGCTCTAATGTCCTCTGCTTCCATTTTTGTTTGCTTGTAGATACGGCCCAAAAAAGAAAACACAAAACTGATTCAAAATTGCAAGCACCATCATGGGTGGATTTAGGGGAGGGGGGAGGGGGGGCGGACGCCCCCTCCCTTAGGGATTCGAACCCCTGCCGACCCAAAGGGTCCCCCCTTTGATACTTTTTCAGAAATCCATTTTTGGCCAACCGACCCTAAAATTTTTCTAACCGATATTATATACTAACTTCGAGGGGGAGCGCGCGCCAAAAAAAACGCAATTTTTTGTCAAAATTTTTCAAAAAGTGCCCAAAAACGGCTTTTTTGACTGTTTTTTTTTTCAAAAATTTGCCTGCGGCGCACAAATATTTTGCCAAAATAGGGGCAAAACAGTGCTTTGGGAGAGCTCGAAAAATCAAATTGGTCGACCTAAAAAAAAAAAAAAGGTCGTCAAAATTTTGGAAAATTTTTTGAAAATCCGCCCCCCCTCGAGAAAATCCTAGATCCGCCCCTAAGCACCATAATGGAATATTAAAGAATAGCAATAGCCATAGTTTTTCAAAAAAATTGCCTAAAAATTTGACTACAGCGTAATTTTTGTTGTTGAGTTGCAATGTTTGGAAGTTTTTTTGCTCAACATTTTTCTCAACAGATTAAGAGGCATTAAAATTTTAGATTAAGCCACGAATTGATAGATGCCAAGTCACATTCACACAAAAATATAACAAAAAATGCAATTGTTGTTCTGTTTTTTGGAGAAAAAGCCGGAATGTTTGTGCTCGGGGTAGTTTTTTTTCTCCAGACAAAATTCGACTTTTTAATCAGGTTTTTTTGACCAAAAATTTTCATATGCTTCAATACATTTTTTTGTCCCCAACTGAACGCTTAAAAATATTTTAGCTTTGATTTGTTTTGTGAACTAATAGGAATTTACAAGATAGCATGTTTGTCGATTTGGGACCTTTAAAGCGCAATCTATTTTGCACTTTAAATGCCTTAATCGGCGATATAATCCGGGTTAAAAATCATTGAATTTAGAATTGAGGCATAACATTTCGTTAGGATATATGCTATAACCAAAAAAATCCTTTCGTACTTTATATAGCATGAAACACTTTTCATTACGAGGCCAAACTGTGCATTTTGTGCATTGTAAGGGGATTCCGCGACAAGGACGCTCCCTTTGTTCTTCTTTTGTTCTTTCATTTTCTTTGATCGTTCCGACAAAACTTAAACATGTTTAAAGACTTGTCTCTGGAATCCAGGAACAAACAGACACAAAATTTTGTTCCTATCCAGTGCACAGTTTGGCCTCGTAATGTTTTCAAAAGTTTTTTTTTTGAAAATCTTAATTTTTTTAAAAGCACACAATTTTCCACAGAATTTTAAAAACAGTTGAAACATCCAAGGCTCTAATGCAAGCAGTGTGGTTTGTGTTTGTATTTGGCTACAAAGCCTCTACTTTGGTAATACCAGAGGTTGAAAATCGTAACCTGTTTTTTTTTGGACAGATTTAGGTTATATATTGGATGAAGCATATATTATACCTTCATTGTCACCCTACATTCTTTATCTATAAAACTGTGCATGTACTACGATATACTCAAAAATTTGAGAAAAAAACTCTGATGAAGCAAATAAACTGAGAACTAAAAAAGCTTTCTGTTTTCGATTATTAAAAAAATTATCAATCAATTTTACCTATCATACAAAGGGAAACCGTATGATAATCATTTTCATTTCTACAAAGAAATTAAAGTTTTGATGAGCAGTATGATCTCAATCAATTAAAACCTGTTGTAAGCTCATATATACTTACTTAACAACCGTTTTGGATGGGTGTCAAAAATTATAGCTAAAAAGTGCTTATTATACAATTTTCATAAATAGAAATCGTATGATAAGCTTTTTTCCAGAGAATCTATGCATGGAGTTGCATGATGAGCAATTTTTCATGTAATAGATTGATATTCAATTTTATTGCATAGAGGACATTCCGGAGGTTCACCGGAAAACCAAAGACTTCATTTCTCTGGGCACCGGTGTTAGGCGTGACTTTTTAGCTTAGCCTCTGTGATTTTTTTCATTCTTTCCCTAATAATGTTTGAAATATTTCTTTTTCAAGAGAATTGAATTTGGTATTTTTAAAAATCGTATTTTTAGAACGACACCTATGACATCCAGACAACTTCTCCGCCACGAGTTTGGGAGGATAAATTTCCCCTCGTCGCTTCTACATTATTCAGCATGGAAGTAGTTACCAACACCATTTCGGCTTTTGGTTGCGTAGGAAACATTTTCATCATGATAATTGTATCTCACTGGGATAAGCTGACTTCAGGGGGCGCTTGCATGTTCAGTTTGGCTCTCGCCGACTTTCTTTCCGTCTTCTACGACGCTTTCATCGACAGCCTCCCCAAACTTATCGGCTATGGACTTGTGTCGGCAAATAGCCCCATCTGCGCAATTTCCACCATGATTTCTTGGGTCACAAGCTACTCTTCATTTTATATAACTGTACTCTTTAGTTTGGATAAATGCATTGCTGTCGTTTTTCCATTCAAATATAAACAATACGCAAAACCAAAACTTATTGTGTTTGCAACCTTGTTGATTTATTTCTGCGAAACTGTTTACGCTCTTCCTGTGCTTTTTGTGGTAAGATTACACGAGGTCGCAGACTTTTGTTACCCGGTGAGCTTCAAATATATAAGTCGAAGTTATTACGTAGACTTCAAACCAAGGTTGACAACAGTCTTGAATGGATTTGTACCTGTATGCTTGGTGTTAATTCTGACGACAATTACGATCATCAAAATCCGAAGGTCCAGTGCGAACGTGAAAAGTGAGAGGTCGCGGACTTCCGTTTCGCGACGGGACAACGAAATCACTCGGCAGATGATCGTGGTCGGAATCTTCTTCGGCTTTTTCAACATGATAGCATCTCTTTGTATCAGGTGTTTGCTGGTTTTTTAACCACATTTGTAGGGAAGGGAGATCCAAAGGAAATCAAGAGCATTTTTAAAATTTAAACTGATAACTCTTTTAAAACTTAATTTCTCGAACCGTTATCAAAGGAAGTCCCTCGAACCAAGCCCAACAACATTATCTGAGGCAGTTTTTGGAACCCAAAATTGAATCACTTGGTAAAAATTTGTGAGTCAATTCTTTTTGACAAAACAAGATGTGCAATCATCTCAAAATGCAGTCCATGCAACAATCAATATAACTTAGATAAATTATGATTTTCTACTGTACTTTTTTTCGAAATGTTTTCATGTATGGATGTATATAAATCCGCATATGTTTTTACATTGAATTTTTCTAGGTTTCTATTCAGGAGACGAATTCGAAGTCTGAAAGACCAGGCGAAGTATCAGTTCGTGCAAGGTGTCATTTCAATATGCATTGCGCTGATCAACTCGGCGAATTTCTACTTGTACATGATCTTCGGCAAAACCTTCCGGGCTAATTTCGTATCTTTCGTCAAACGGCAAAAAGAAGACTTCCTGGCAAAAGACACACGAACAAATCATGCAATGACGGAGAGAAACAAAAATGCAGAAGAGAAGAACTAACTAATTGGTTAATTAACTAATTAATTTTATTAAGCATGTACCCTTGAACGTCATTTTTTGTGCTAGTTTCAGCCTTTGCTATAATGTTTATTTAATACATATCCCTAATATGGATTTGACCCGTAACTTTTTTAGCTATCACGCCCCATGCCCGTATACTCAATACCTCTTTTCTAAATCACCCAAAGATACTATTGCGCTGTAACACAGACTTTTCAGAAAAAAAAGTTTATAATCAATCTATAAATCCTGATTTGCCGACTGTGCTGGCTGTTTTTCCTAAAATAAACTCATATCGTATGCCAAACAGGACACAACCTAGCATGGCACAACGACCGAATTTTAAAGCTTGATTAGCCAACCAGGAGTTTGTAATCAAAATCTGAAAGATATAGTCAAGATTCACTCAGAGCTCTAAGGAACTCGAAAGATAATTGATCGTTGGGAAATTTCTGCTATTTTGGAATTTCTGTTATTAGAATAGCTCCTATTGTTGTATACCATCTTAAACTCTAAATTGTAAAATTGTTCCAGCAAAAATTACTTCCATAGATCAATTTTTAAAATTCAACTTTTTTGTTCCAACTTTCGAATAAAGTGACAGTATACTTGTTCTCGCGGTGGCGGTGTTTTTGCCCAGGCCATTTTCGACTTTTCAATTTACCGTTTTTGACGGACATTACGAGGACAAACTGTGCACTGTATCTTCCTGGATTCCAGAGACAAGTTTTTAAATAAGTTCCAAAATGTAAGTGGATTGTTTTAAATATCTGAGAGCTATAGGTGTTTTTTGAGCTCAAATTAAACAAAAATCTGTGATTTAAAAACTGCTATTTTGGTCGTATGGGAAAACAAACGAGTATGCGGCAGTTTAATTGGGCTCAGAAATGCAAAAAAAATTTGATAAACTAAGTTATTGACGTTCTATAACTTTAAAAAAGTGTTTTAACCTGTGACATTTCAAAGAAAGTTATTGCGGTTTGAAAATTGACAATTTGACTAAATTGTGACAATTAACGCACGACACCTTTCGTTCTGTTAATGCATTAATGGTGATTCAATCCGTCTCAGAAATCGTTCCAATTTGATTTGAGGCAGTTAATTGGAACTATCGAAATAAGTTGCTACACGTCAATTGCATCACTTTTTAAATTTGCGTAGGAAGCGAAATTTTTAAAAAGTCTGAAAAAAATGTACCTCAAAGGGCAGTCGAAAATTTGGGGTTTTCTTGATACGAGCAGTCATTTTACATATTTAGTTTTGCGTAGGCAAGAGTGTTCATAAAGAGTCATGAAGTAAATTTGAATTTAACTTCGTTCATAGTTCGAAAATATTGTTCACTCTCGCTGAAGTTTTATCAAAATTGGTTCACCCTTGAATGATTTTTCACCCTTAACTGCAAAAACCACCGAATTAGTTATGGGACACAGAACTGTAGTTTCTTCAGACGTTAAATCGCCCTTCAAATTGTTCAGCCTCACATCACTAGCTGTTCTGAAAACCCTCCAAATATCCAACTCGTAAATCAAAGTGACTCTTTTTAAGTCCTCGTTTCTTGGAATTTTGTCACCAACAATCAAATGACCTTGAGATGGCTGAGATTGGCTCGGAATCCAGACAAAAGAATCCAGATACTTCACACCATTTAATTGTATATGCTTTACAGGTTGCCGGTTTGTTTCATCGAATGAAACCAACGCTTTTATTGGATCAGTTTTACTAATAGTCGATGATTTTATGTTTCAGATTCTTCTTAACGTCGTGTTCAGATGAAATTTTATGTATCTAGAAAGTTTTCGTGTTTTTCTATTATTTTTTTAAACTATGCTATTTGAATGGTCATAGTTTGGAAACACATAACCCTCATCTCTTGAAGGCGAAAGCTTGTATGATAAACAAAGAACCTACAAATTCTTTATAGCTATATTGGGAATTTTTTTAAAAAAAGTTAAATTGATCCCGATTTTATTGGCCGCGCTTTTCAAAAGAAGGATATTCTCGCAACAGTAAACGCTGTTCATGTAATAAATACTTGAAGTTGCCTCGACATTCAGAGCTACTTTCTTGTGAAATTCTTCGTCACTGTAGATGAGCATACTGAGCCATTTGTTGTTGTTCACGTGCACAATTAGGACGGCTAGCTTGTCCTTGAACGTTGACAGGTACCAGTAGTTTCCCTTTTCATACTCGTATTCTCGAGTATCCAGTTGACGCAGTTTGGACAAGTCGATCTACATTCGGCAACTTTTAACTTAGCCCCCTTTTGGCTACTATCACAACCCTGCTTAACGACCAACATTTAAAAAGAGCGCGACCCTAGGTCCATTTACTTACTTATTGGGTGCTTAAAGAAATGCCACTTGCAAAAAGTAAGCACTCAATTTCGCCGATTACGTCTCAGATGGCATAATTCCCAAATGGCTTAAAATGAAAAAAAATCCCAAATGGCATAAGTTTCATGCAACAGTTGCATTGAAAAAATCGAGAACAATATGAGAAAATTAGTCAAGCTGTCAACTCAAATGTTGATTGGCATTTTATCTTGAAAAATTTGTAGAATGTTTTTTTTTATAAAAAGCAAGAAGCATAACCTTGCGATTATTAATAAGCTTGTTGTGGTCAATTTTTTCGACAAATCTGTCGCGTTTTCGACAATATTTTCGACAACATTTGTTTGGAAGCAATTATTCCAAGTCTTGTTCACATGCTTTTGTTCTTCACAAAATGTTAGAATTAGAAATTGATAGAAAGCGTTAAAATCACAATGAAAACTTGAAATTTATGGCATTTGGGAAAAAATTCCACTTTTATGCCATTTGGGAATTAGGCCATTTGGGATTTTAATTTTCAAAAGTCTTAGCTGTGTTTTGGTTTTCTGTGGTTTGTATAGTTTCTGCTTGTCTCTTAGAGACGCTTAGCAAAAATCACGCCAAACATTGAAAAAATTCTTTAAATACTAGAAAGATTTTGCGAAAGTTTGAAATTTAAAAAATAATGAAATAAATTGATTAGAACGAGGATAACCAGTTGCTCTGCAATCCACACAAAGTAAAGTGTTTCGATCACGTTCTGAAAACCACAAAAAAATCGTTCAAATGAGTGTCGTTTTAGTGCGTGGTGTTGACCAACAAAAAAAACAAGAAAATTTATGTTGCCAAAAAAGTGCTCACTGTCACTTTCATAACTATTTTTTATTTCGTAAAAATAAATTTTCTTAGCTTCAAAGTCCTAATAAAGTTAAATTTGAAATGCTGAATTGCTTAAAATTAACTGGAACTCAAAAATTATAAATTAGTTTATCTCGACACGGGGACAACTTTTTGAAATTATTTATGAAGTTTTGCATGATAATTTGATATATCACTCGAATCATTTCGATTTTTTGTAGTACTTGATTTTGCGATGAAAAAAAATTTCAGCACACAAGTATCAAATTTCCGCCATTTGTAATGGTCGGAACCGGGGGGGGGGGGGGGGGGGGGGAGGAGTTTTAGTAGGATTTTCTCGAGGGGAGGGGAGCTTTAGTTTCAAGTTTTTGAAAGGAAAGTTTTACAATCTTTTTTTTAGGTCGACCGAATTGATTTTCGGAGCGCTCCAAGAACCTTAAAAGACCGTATTTTAAAAAAAAAATTGCGCCGCTAGTGGCAAATATTTGAAAAAACAAATTAAAAAAGGAGGCGTTTTCAGACACTTTTGGACAACTGTGACCAAAATATTCCATTCCCCCCAAATCCACCTGTGGTCGGAACAAAAAGAAATTTTAATAAAGTTTTGGAAAGTTATCAGCAGTTTTTCTAATGCTAATCAATCTAAATATTGAAGTAAAACAAGCAAAATATAAAGGTTTGCACACAAAGATTTTTGCCAGGAACTAAATTTAAAAGTTTTTTTTTACACCTAAACGATCAATTTATATGAAAAATGTAGGAATGATGTTCAGAGCGTTGATTCGACTTGGAAAATTTCATACTACAAATAATCACTCAGTTTGTCTCATACGCAGAAAAAAAGAACCCAAAAAGACCTTTTAACCGAAAAGACCCGAGAGGGCCAGTAAAAGCTGCCATGTCAATCTATAATAATTCTGCTCTTTCCCTGATTCAGCACTTCGATCCGGTACTTCTTCCTCTGGTAGGCCAGTCCGATCAGTTTGTTGTTCACTATTGCCACTTCCTCCAGTCTGCCCCCGCCCCTCCTCAAGTTTGCCCACTTCATCAGTCGGTCTTGCTTGAACTGGCCGTAGATGTACGTGAACACCTGTGTTAATTGCATCATTGAGAAAATGGCAGCAAAAAAAACACTAAAAATGTCCAAAAAGTTTTCCGTTTTTTTTTCAGGCGAGGTGTGTGTGCATGTGTGCGGGGGATATGTTGATCTACAAGAGTGATGTGAGTTTTCAGGAGAAGGTTTTGATATATCATTTAATATGTAAGCGCTCTGTAAACAACCAGGAAGCACATCGCGTATGTTATAGAGTACAACTGGTCCATTTCGACCAGCTTCTGCCTCCCCCATAAGTTTACAAATACACTAATAATTGCGGTTTTTTTTAATCTCAAAGCATCGATATGGTATTAAAAACTTCCATTTTGTTAATTTCACCGTTAAAATGTGTTATAATTATTTAATCCAAAAGACCTGACTTAAGCAGAATAAACCGACTGAATTAAAATGTATTCAAAGGCGCACATCTAGTATTTTCTCAAAAAAAATGGTATTCTTCAAAAAACCATAACCTTTAGAGGTGATTGACCAAAAATGGGCATCGTAAAATTTTTTAAAGGGAGGGCCATTTAGGTAACCAGGCAGGGTTCGAATACCAGGGGAGATACCGTTCAGTTACCTGAACTTCGTCGGGAAACCGGTTGTAGCAGAACAACTCATTTCTACTGGTCCAGTATACACCTTTGTAGCATTCTAGATGATCGGAGCCGAACTTCTTCAGTTGACTCACCGAATGTATTGTTCCGATTTCATTATTGTGAAATATTTTTTCATTGCTCTCTGACAGCTCGTGGTACTCATTTAAGTTTTTAGCTTTTCATTGATTTTAAATTATTTTTCTTCCTAACTTTTCAGAATTGGTGTAATAGATAA